AAAATGAGGAGTCGCAGTGACTTTTGCAATTTTGTCTTCACAGACTCTCTTCATTCATCATATCGCAATAAAATCCTACAACAGAAATGTTATGGTTTACTGTAGTTAAATTAGTTTGTAGTTGTTGCGCGTGTAATTACCTTGCTTTCTGATCAAAGTGTTTAAATCTAAGGACTGTGCATATGTGCTCATCATATTATTTTTCATGAGTGTTTGTATATTATGGATGTTTTAAGGGTTGATATAGTCTTTTGTTTTGTTTGTCTTCAGATAATAGAGATCTTATTGCATGTACTGTTGTGCATAAAGATAAGGTGACAAAGTAAGTAACAGAGTTTTTACAACTGTTTTGTAATATCGTAGGACATCCATTGTTCATGATGCCAAAATAGTGTTGAAATACATGTAGCTATCTCCATTGACTTTACTAAGTAGCGTAATATTCAAAAACAGGTGTGCGTCTGGGTTGTTTACATCTTTGCTAGCCATGATCCTTTCAGCTAATGTTAAATTTCCCATGATTTTGTGTATTACCATATGCTGTCCCTAATTCTGTTTGGGCATGTTTTTTAATACAGGAATTTCCAATCAGGTTTATCTTTTCACAAAGGTTAAATATGCAAACTCGTGGTAGAATTACACACGGGTGGAGTATGTTTACATCAATTTCACAAAACTGTGTGATTTTGATAAAATGTTACATTAGTTTATTCCAATACTATCTATTTATTTTTGTTCGTAGTCCTAAACGACAAAGACGTTTTCTTGTAATTGACCCACTGCAGTTGATACTGGTGGAACCAGATACAAAGAAGCTAGGATGGGGCGTGGCAACATTTGTAGGACCACTACAGGTACAGAGAAGTATTTATTATCTGTGTCAACTTGTGTAATGTTTATGACTAGATATTAACATGGAAGTTGTATACTTCTACAGTTTCACAACAGACAAATATTCAGTGAAAAATGGTATTTATTCAAGGATTTGCAGCGACTTTTAGTCACTGCTCATGTCTTCACTTGATCATATCAACATTTACAACAGTTTGCAATGTCTCCTTGGCTGTTTACTAGAGTGACTTATGCTAAGAGTAATTCATATCATATTTACTGATACTGTTGACTGTAACTCTGTGCCATGAATACACTTCATCAACCTTGTCATTACTTCATGAACAAGTTACCGTAAAATCTGTTAGAAGCCGCAGCTTCCATTAAAATAGTACAATGCAATAGAGGGGATGCGGCTTCTATTAGAGCATACACATATGAGAAATGGTGAATTTTTGGTTCTCAATTGTTCAAAAAGAATGGTTGCGACTTCTATTAGGGATGCGGTTTCTAATACATATTTTATGGTAGATCCATTAACAGATTTTATAATAACACACAATATATTTTTGGCATTTACATACATGTAATAAACATAATCTCATTACAGTGAATACGTACAGGAATTTTAATTGTTATTCTTAGGTTCATTCCAAATCAGTCTACAACATCATATATACTGTGCTGCCTCTTAATGATAGATGTGACTAAAAATTGAAAACTAAAAGTTTTTGCTGAGTGAAATGTTCCAACCAATTAATCTGACTTGGTTTCCGTGGAAACAATGACTTTTGATT